CAAGGGTTCATAAACTGTTAAGTCCTTTACTAAAACTTACTGTACTTTTACAACCACGTCCGCCTTTTAACCTTTTTGCTATGACATCGCATATTCAACCCGGAAGCTCTTACATATCGAGATGGCCCATCAACTAAGTGTCTGGTCTCCGAATACAGGACCCTGTAGGATGCACATCCATCCTCCACTCACTTTCTGTGCTAGCACGTGAGCTTCCATCGCAATTGCTCCCAAGTGTTTCGTTCTACAACCGCACACTGCGAAATTCTAATGTAGCGGGAAAGTACCAACTCGGAGAGAATAGCGGCTTGTGGAGAGCCAACTCGTACACTATAATCCCGTGTGTTTCACAACGCCATTTCTGGACGTTCATGTGAAGATGTTTTTTTTTTTTGGGGGGGGGGTGGAAGGGGGCGGGGGAGGGTGGATTTGAAGAACAGATCCATTGTCACCTAACGATCATAAAATAAATAGAAGGTAAAGGAAAGATAATGAAACAATGAGACACCCGGTATACAAATTGATAGACGTTGATGCACTGCCTCGTTTGGTTCTCGAGTACAATTCTTATGGGGATTTATAAGGCTTCGAGGCTCGTGCTTTGTAATAACTGTACAACACTTCACTGCAGGGGACAGCTCTCTACAACTCAAGTAACAGTTCACTGTTAGTGAGCAACTGTTCAGTAAGCAAACGACCAACAGTTCATTGTGACTCAGGTAAAGTTAAGTATGACTAAAGAACAGTTCAGTGTGACTCAGCAACAGTTCACTACATTTGATCAATAGAGCACAGCAACCGAAAAACAGCTCACTACAACTGAACAATAGCCCAGTGCAACTGAACAACAGTTCAGTGCAATTTACCAGACGCTCACTGCAGCTGACATACAGTTCACTGTAATTGACCAAAGCTCACTGCATCTAATCAAAGCTTACTGCATCCTCACAACAATTCAGTGCAATTTACCAGACGCTTACTGGAACTGACATACAGTTCAGTGTTACTGAACAAAGCTCATTGCAACTGATCAAAGCTCACTACAGCTTCACAACAGTTCAGTGCAATTTACCAACCGCACACTGCTCTTGGCCAGCCGTTCAGTGCTAGTGAGCAACATTCCGGTGTGACTTATCAACGGTTCAAAGCTACTGACCAACAACTCACTGCAACAATATACAATATAACTTCCTGAGAGGTGTCAATCAGTACTTGTAAATCTAATCTTTACTGTAGTAAACTCGGACTGCAAGAAGTTAGCCAGGGTCACACAACTTAGCCGTGTCTGATGTGATATAATTCGACAAACCAGTGACCTGACCTCCAACAAAATAGCATTTACATGGTTATCTCCGATCTGGTCTACCTTTATGGAGGGGAGATCATCTAGCTGCAGTCGACTCGACTTCAGCACATTTTCTTTCCTGGGGTCAACAAAGTTCTCTCTAATTAGGCACATGAACCTAGAAGTTTATCGCCATTGCTCCCCTCCCGGTTCTTTTATTATATTTAACCGTATCTCAGCGACTCTGAGATTACGTAGGGAATTCCCGGGAAAGTCAAATTCTAAGGGGGCTTAGGGTTAATGTTAGTCGGTGTTTATTTCGCACCCTATTACCCAAATAACATTAGACTTTCCCAAGTATTCCATACGAAACCTCTGAGTCCCCTAGATAGGATGTAATAAAAGAGAAGAACCCCATTCCCACCTCTACTCTTCCCTTAAACAATTGTGTGTGTGTTCGTCTGTATTTTTTTTTAATTACAATATATCGTCTTTTTTTTTTTTTTAAAGTAAATATAAGTTTCTAGTCCCAAGGGTTCCTAAACTGTTAAGTCCTTTACTAAAAACTTACTGTACTTTTACAACCACGTCCGCCTTTTAACCTTTTTGCTATGACATCGCATATTCAACCCGGAAGCTCTTACATATCAAGATGGCCCATCCACTAAGTGTCTGGTTTCCGAATAAAGGACCCTGTAGGATGCACATCCATCCTCCCCTCACTTTCTGTGCTAGCACGTGAGCTCCCATCGCAATTGCTCCCAAGTGTTTCGTTCTACAACCGCACACTGCGAAATTCTAATGTAGCGGGAAAGTACCAACTCGGAGAGAATAGCGGCTGGTGGAGAGCCAACTCGTACACTATAATCCCGTGTGTTTCACAACGCCATTTCTGGACGTTCATGTGAAGATGTTTTTTTTTTTTGGGGGGGGGGTGGAAGGGGGCGGGGGAGGGTGGATTTGAAGAACAGATCCATTGTCACCTAACGATCATAAAATAAATAGAAGGTAAAGGAAAGATAATGAAACAATGAGACACCCGGTATACAAATTGATAGACGTTGATGCACTGCCTCGTTTGGTTCTCGAGTACAATTCTTATGGGGATTTATAACGCTTCGAGGCTCGTGCTTTGTAATAACTGTACAACACTTCACTGCAGGGGACAGCTCTCTACAACTCAAGTAACAGTTCACTGTTAGTGAGCAACTGTTCAGTAAGCAAACGACCAACAGTTTATTGTGACTCAGGTAAAGTTTAATATGACTAAAGAACAGTTCAGTGTGACTCAGCAACAGTTCACTACATTTTGATCAATAGCGCACAGCAACTGAAAAACAGCTCACTACAACTGAACAATAGCACACTGCAACTGAACAACAGTTCAGTGCAATTTACCGACTGCATCTGACAAAGAGTTCACTGTAACTGACTAAAGCTCACTGCAGCTAATCAAAACTTACTGCATCTTAACAACAGTTCAGTGCAATTTACCAACCGCTCACTGCAACTGACCAACAATTCAGTGCTAGTGAGCAACATTTCAATGTGACTTATCAACAGTTCAGAGCAACTGACCAACAACTCACTGCAACAATATACCTTCCTGAGAGGTGTCAATCAGTACTTGTAAATTTAATCTTTACTGTAGTAAAAATCAGACTGCACGAATTAAGTCAGCGTTATTCAACTTAGTCGTTTGCGATGAGAAGAAGCTTTCCTGAAACCAGGATGATTGAAATCAATTCTACCCTGCTGTAAAACCCAGCATGCAAGAAGCCAGAATCATTAGAGGGGAAGAAATAATCACGTCTGCAGTAAACCTGTGATTGTTTTGATTGTCTGTGTGAATGATTTCCATCAAATAATTCAAAAACCCAGTGATCTGACCAGCAACATAATAGCATTTACATGGTTACCTCCAATCTGGTCTACCGTAATGGAGGGGAGATCATCGAGCTGCAATCTACTCGACTTCAGTAACAGAAACTATACACGCACATTTCCTTCCCCTGAGTCAACATGCATCTCTCTACATTGGCGCATGAACCTGGGAGCTTATGCTTCCTTGCTCTCCTGCCGTTCTTTTTTTTAAATATTTCATCCTATCTTAACGACTCCGAAGTTTCGTAGGGAATTCATCAGAAAGTCCAATATTATAGGGGATAAGGGTTAGGGTTAGTCGGTGTTGATTAGGCACCTAAATACCCCAATATTAATGGACTTTCCCTGTATTTCCATAGGAAATATCGGAGTCCCCTAGATGAAATGTAGAAAAAGAGAAGGAACCCCCCCCCCCACCCCCCCTTTTTCACCCTTTCCCTAAACAAGTGTGTGTTTGTTCTTCTGTATTTCTGTTTATTTCAATACATCGTCTTTAAAAAACAAAACGTAATTAAAATTTTTTAAGGTCTTGAGGGTTTCCCACCTGTAAGAACTTAAACTTACTGTACGGTTACAACCATAAATGCTTTTTAACTTATCTGTCACCACATCGCAAAAGCTCTTACATCTCAAGATGTCTTTTCTCCAAGTAAAGGGCCCTGTCGGATTCACATCCATCCTCCCGTCACTTTCCGTGCTAGCACGTAAACTCCAATCACCAATGCTCCCAAGTGTTTCCTTCTACAACAGCACACTGCGAAAATCTAATGTTGCCAGACAATACCAACTAGGAGAGGTTAGCAGCTTGTGAAGAGCTGTATTTGTCTTGCACTTCTCAGGCGGCTTAAGTGATGGATTTTACACCAGGTTGTACACCAGGGCTAGTCAACTGGCGGCCTGCGGGCCAAATCTGGCCCGCGAAGGCATAGCAGGTGGCCCGCTGATCATTGTCAGTTGTACTATATTTATGCGCTGCTTATGTTGGGGCGTGAGACTCTGGCACGTGGCGATACCCATTTTCAAAATTTTGGCCCCTGAGCAAATTTAGTTGAATAGCCCTGGTATAGATGGAAGAGTAAATATTAGGTTCATATAGCGTGCTTTAATGTACAGTATAGATAGAAGAGTAAATGTTAGGTTCATATAACGTGCTCTAATGTATAGTATAGATGGAAGAGTAAATGTTAGGTTCATATAGCGTGCTCTAATGTATAGTACAGATGGAAGAGTAAATGTTAGGTTTATATAACATGCTCTAATGTATAGTATAGATGGAAGAGTAAATGTTAGGTTCATATAAGGTGCTCTAATGTATAGTACAGATGGAAGACTAAATGTTAGGTTTATTTAACATGCTCTAATGTATAGTATAGATGGAAGAGTAAATGTTAGGTTTATATAATGTGCTCTAATGTATAGTATAGATGGAAGAGTAAACGTTAGGTTTATATAACGTGCTCTAATGTTTAGTATAGATGGAAGAGTAAATGTTAGGTTCATATAACGTGCTCTAATGTGTAGACACGAGAACAAATGATGATTATATCAGGATTTTTTTTTTTTTAATATCAGGATGATAAACCAATGATGATTAAAAGTAAAGTAAAGATCTCTTTGTATGCCTTTAGGCACATCAGGCATATGGGAAATGATGATTATATGGATGATAACAGGATAATAAGCGATGATTATGAGGATGATAAAAATAAAATTGATGATTATGACAATGAGGATGATAAAAATAATATTAAGGAAGATGACGATGATGATGGGGATGATAATGATGACAAGAACAAGAACAACTCAATACTGACATAACAAGTACCAAGACTGACCTTGATGCAGTACCAATCGCTGTGACCCAGGCTTGAATGACTCCCCACATAATCCGGAATGGGTTCTTGCGGGTCAGGACAAAGTAGATGCCAGGGAGCAACACCAAAGTGTGGATGGTCAAACCCAGAAGGACGGTGATCATGTACATGCCAAGCTGCTGGCCTACCTTGGCCGGGTCCTTGAGTTCAACAATTTTTCCAGCAATGAGAAACATGATGCCTACAGGGGAGTACCTAGAATAGAAGTCATCAAAAAATAAACAAGATAAAGGTGGTTCCATATCAGCCTACCAGCATAGTGGTCAGAGGTTTGATTCCATTAACTCATTCAGTTCCAGAAAGGTGGCTAAGAGCTCCTATTCTTCTGTCTATCCACGTGTCCAGAGACATTAGAAAATTGAATGAGTTATTAGTTGAGAATCGACATCACAGCACTCGGGACATTCCCATAAATGCTCCGTCTCCTCCACATTCAGCAGAAAGTGCAGAGTTTCAGTTCTGACAGTACCAGGAACAGTCTGATTGTATGTCCATCTCGTTCCTCCCTTCGGTGTTGAGAATCGGCCGGATCCTTTGGTTACTGCTCGCTGCACTTTTGTCTTCTGACTGTGAAGATCTAATTGTGCCTTGGCAGTATTTACTGACTCACAAAGGGCCCTTACCACATATAGTTTTCATGCATCAATTTACCACCAAGTGGTGCAGAGCAAGCCACATTATAATGCCTGTTAATTTCGTAACACACTGGCATATATACAATAATGAAAATATCTACAGGATGTGAACTATCCGGGATTTCTGAAGTGATACTTTCCACTCTGCATGGAGCATGCTGGTCTCCACCTTTCTCAATATCCTCTGTGAGACAGTTACGATGTATATAATTGTACTGTTGATGGATATATATTTATATATATATAGCCAGGTGGCCACGGCTGTTTTGAGTTTTGGTTAGGCTGCAAGTGAACACAAATCTGACAAGCTGGGAGACAGGAAGGTGATCAAAAGGCCTAGACCTAAGGAAAACTCACTCGCTGTGTGTTTTTCGTGCTCCAGTCAGTCGCTTTGTCGTCGTGTGAGGGCACGTGGTCCACAGCGCAGGTGTGGCAGACTGAACCAAGGGAAAGATGGGATTGTCTCACTGATTATGGTGGTGGTAGGTTTCCATAGTTAGTTCTGAATTTTCTCCGGTAGTTTAAATGTGTAGAGCTAGATATCAGTCTGTATCACTGCTCGAAGATATTTGATTTCAGGTCGCTGAGAGCAAATTTTCACCTTTGATAGATGAAGTGCTTAGCACATTATCTGTTCAAACAGGTGAAGAACCTGCATAGAAGAACTCTTTTCTTTACTTTTCCTGTTTTTGCTGTTCAGCAAGGAAGTACTTATTGTCCTAACCACATTTCCTTTTTCCTTTTCTTCCTACATCTTGTTTTTCTTTTTCCTCTTCCTTCACACACACACACACGCTCACCTGTGTGTCTATATATATATATATATATATATATGTTTGATTATGCACAACTCTTCACAAATGCACAACTCTTCACAATCAAAATCCAATCATCCTTTCACCATCTCAGTCATTTCATTCATTCACCCCTTAAATAGTGGATCAATGCACTGGTCATCCTCAATTGTGATAGACGAACAAACAAACACAAACCAATAAAAGTACAGAAAAAATAGGTCAAAATTTGATGAAAACAAAAACAAAAACAATCTCGCAGACACACACACACAAACATACACATACACATATTTACAAAAGAATAGGTCATATTTGAAAAAAACAATCACAATCACACACACTCATACACAAAATCTACAGAAGAATAGGTCGTATTTGATGGAGACAAAAACAATCTCACACACATAAATACACAGAAGAGTAAATCATATTCGATGGAGACAAAAATATAGGTCGCATTTGATGGACACAAAACAATCAATAAAAAAAGTATGTTTGTTCATTTTCATTTTCACATCTCCATATGACATTCTTTACATAAAGTAAATTTTCACTGTCTCCTGGTCTGTCATCATTTTATTACTCACTCTCGTACATATAGACGTTATTACAAAATTCATTATAAGAACAGAAAACAGAATTTATCAATGATAAATTATAAAAATTATTATGACAATTTCAGAAATAATCAAAGATGAATTACAAGGCAAGAAGATAGAACTAATCAAAGATAAAATAACTAACAAATAATTAGGAGAACAGAAAACACAGAAATAATCAATGAATAATTAAAAGATGAGAAAACACAGAATCAATCAGTAATGAATTCTGAGAAGATAAAGTACAGAAATAATCAACTTACCACATAACAATAATGACCATTTTCATGATTATCTCGTTGAGGACTGTGAAGAACTCGATCATAATTTTCCCTCTGGCTCCCATGTTGCTGATGAGAATACCAAAAGCTGTGCAGAAAGTGATGATTCCTGTAACGAGGGAGTACAAATACTTCTGTAATCATGCGGCATAAATACATCTGTAAATAAGATACTATCAGGGGTGACTGCATTATGCTAATACCATGAGACTCTTCTTCTTTTGTCGTCTCACTGATGCCAGGTTGTAGCCCAGTGTTGTGGTTTTGTCGTCTCACTGATACCAGGCTGTAGACCAGTGTCATGGTTTTGTCGTCTCACTGATACCAGGCTGTAGACCAGTGTCATGGTTTTGTCGTCTCGCTGATGCCAGGTTGTAGCTTAGTGTTGTGGTTTTGTCGTCTCACTGATACCAGGCTGTAGACCAGTGTCATGGTTTTGTCGTCTCACTGATACCAGGTTGTAGCCCTATGTCATGGTTTTGTCATCTCACTGATACCAGGCTGTAGACCAGTGTCATGGTTTTGTCGTCTCACTGATACCAGGCTGTAGACCAGTGTCATGGTTTTGTCGTCTCACTGATACCAGGCTGTAGACCAGTGTCATGGTTTTGTCGTCTCACTGATACCAGGTTGTAGCCCTATGTCATGGTTTTGTCATCTCATTGATACCAGGCTGTAGACCAGTGTCATGGTTTTGTCGTCTCACTGATACCAGGCTGTAGACCAGTGTCATGGTTTTGTCGTCTCACTGATACCAGGCTGTAGACCAGTGTCATGGTTTTGTCGTCTCACTGATACCAGGTTGTAGCCCTATGTCATGGTTTTGTCATCTCACTGATACCAGGCTGTAGACCAGTGTCATGGTTTTGTCGTCTCACTGATACCAGGCTGTAGACCAGTGTCATGGTTTTGTCGTCTCACTGATACCAGGTTGTAGCCCAGTGTTGTGGTTTTGTCATCTCCCTGATACCAAGTTGTAGCTGAGCGTTGTGGTTTTCTGTATTTGTCTTGCACTTCTCAGGCGGCTTAAGTGATGGATTTTTTTCATCTTTTTTGCAGGTTTCGGCTACCCCTTTTATGCGTTTCTTTCTTGGTCTTCTTTTTGTGTTTCGCCCAGAGTTTTTGCTGTAAAAGTTATCATATGCAGTTTAATTTGGCTGCATTGTCATTAGATAGCTGAATCATGTTATTCTTTGTCTGTCGATTTAATCTTAACACGGTCTTGGTCAAACTTTCTCTATCATGAAACTAATCCAATGAATTTTCACTAAGAAGCTTAACAAAATGGTGCAGGGGAAAAAACGTACACATACAAAATAAAAAGGAATTTTGGCTGCAGCCTTTCTCAAAATCAACCACCACAACAAAGAGCAAGTACTCTAAAACAGGCAGCAAAATGAAATTTGTAAACAGTGTGTATAATGGAATCTACAAAAAGGAATTACAATTTTACAGGGAATATAATTATATCTGTGACTGAAGCGTATGATTAAACAGTATTTGAAAGCAGAGAATAGTTATGTATCTGTAGACAGACATTATGATTATATTTGTAATGAGATAAAATGATTATTCAGCAGGCAGACATAATAATTATATATGCAATTAAATAAAAGGATTATTCAGTACACAGACATAATGATTATTTACAAGATCTGAAAGTTTTTATTTTCTTCATTTTTTATTAGCGATTATTGAAAAAGTATGCCTTTACATTGAAAGAGTCAAGGGACACACATGGAAATTGATGTAAACTTCAGACCTTCTCTGGGCATTCACTCCTCGGTGGGACTTACAACATCTCATCTTTACAGTCTTGATATCCTGATAGAAGAGCTTTGCCAGGTAAACTCACATACGTCTCTATGCTTGTGATCAAAGCCTGCGTATCCAGAAATAGATACCTCATCACATATAGCAGATCCTTTGCAGAATCTTGTTCACATCCCAGCCTGCCTGAAAGAAACAGTTTCCTTCCAGCTCTCCTCTCCTACCCAAGGAATCACTTATAGCCTGTGACAATTGTTAGGCTGGTCAGCACCTGCACCTCCTTCCTGGCACTAAGGCTTCTGCTCTTATTCTTTCCAATCCACCTTGGCACTTGATTATATGGTGAAAAATTTGTTGTTTCTGAGACAAAATACTGGTTACTAGCCAAACTTGCTTGATGTTCAGATCTTTTAGAATGTCAGTATTTTCAAAGATGCCTTTGAAGTAGATTTTTTGCCTATTTGGAAGCATAAAGTCACTTAGTGTCAGTTCTGAAAAGTAAGAATAATTGATTTCATCATGCCTCAGTGTCAATCTGTTCAACTTATATACTTTCATCCTTTGGCAAGGTTACAACATCACTGCAGACAGGGGTACCTCATGCCTGCTTTGTTCCTGTGCCAGCGGAAAATCACATAAAAAGTCATTCACTGTCCTATTTGAAAATTAGTAAATTTGTAGAATTGCAGCCTGCTGTTGTAAGGTCAGTCACAAAATCTGGCACTGCACCCCATATGCCTATAAGCAGGGAGCATGTTAAGATATTTCAATAATCCTGCACACAACCTAATATACGATCAGAGGTTGAATGTTGAATTAAGAATCGACATCACAACACTCGGGACACTCTCATCAGTGCTCAGTCCACATCATCAGCAGCATGCGAAGAGTTCCAATTCCGATGGTACCAGTGTTCAGAGGTTGCGGAGAAGCATGTTCGCCAAAACCAGTCAGCTAGAAATTTGAGAATGATGATGATGTATAAAGATTTTAATCAGGTTGTACCAAGCAGTAAGAAAGATTGACAGTCTAAGTCAGCCGGAGAGGAAATGAGAAAACGAGTGTGAGAAGAAGTACAGTTTCAACTCACCGAGTACATTCACTCCATCATTCATGGGATATGTTCTAACCCATTTTGTGACTTCTTCTCGGATAACTACAACTGTCTGGTTTGTGTCAGAGCTGGAGATGTTGACCAGTGTTGCTTGTGTGGTGGTTAACACTGTTGTGACGGAGGCGGACAGTGTGTCGTTGAGATCTGCCAGCAGTGAACTGTTGGGGGCTGTATAAATAAACTCCTCGGGGTGCTTGATTGCGTAAACTGTCTTTGTGTGTTGGAAACAGGCCTGGATGATGTTGTTGGGAAATATATTCCTGAGGAAAATAATTAATATTATTACATATTCAATTTCGTTCTTTTTAGGACGAAATTTTTTGTCATTTGAAGCCCTACTCTGGCTTTTGCCAGGGGCCGCAATATAGGCAGGCCATATATATGGCCAAATGTCTGAACGCGGTTTCTGGGACCTCTCCACGGCGATCCTCATCCACATGGTGGCACTTTGTGTCATCGGGTGTTTATCGCTTGTGTGATGTCCTGGTGGGGTAGAAATTCAGTTCAGTTCAATAATTAATAAAATTTTATTTTTCAAGTGCCATCTCCTCCATGAGGTTGTCTGCAATGTATTCAATGCTAACTGTGGTAATATTATATGGTAAGCCCCCAATTTCTTCTACGATGGGAATCTTGTACCACTGCCTGAAAGCCACAAGATCAGTCTTTTTCTAAACCCCCTGTCGTAATTGATCCGTGGTAAATGCCAAAGATTATATTGTGAAATGATTTAAATATTTCTAAGCTACAGAGCCTCATTCAACTTTCAGTAAACCACAAACAAGGAGCCATTGTAGTGCAGTCGCCAGTAATCTTGCTTGTTGACTGGCAGTCAGGAGTTCATATATCCACCAATGAGGCTTTTTTTTTGGAGCTGCACTGACATGCTGCTGGAGATTGTAGTTTGTGGAGAGATTGCACATAACAGTCATCAAGGCATGTGATGATTGTAGTTTGTGGAGAGCCATGATCGCACATACCAGTCATCAAGGCATGTTATGATTGTAGTTTGTGGAGAGCCATGATCGCACATACCAGTCATCAAGGCATGAGATAATGTAGTTTGTGGAGAGCCATGATCGCACATACCAGTCATCAAGGTATGAGATGATTGTAGTTTGTGGAGAGCCATGATCGCACATACCAGTCATCAAGGCATGAGATGATTGTAGTTTGTGGAGAGCCATGATCGCACATACCAGTCATCAAGGCATGTGATGTTTGTAGTTTGTGGAGAGCCATGATCGCACATACCAGTCATCAAGGCATGAGATGATTGTAGTTTGTGGAGAGCCATGATCGCACATACCAGTCATCAAGGCATGTGATGATTGTAGTTTGTGGAGAGGCATGATCGCACATACCAGTCATCAAGGCATGTTATGATTGTAGTTTGTGGAGAGCCATGATCGCACATACCAGTCATCAAGGCATGAGATAATGTAGTTTGTGGAGAGCCATGATCGCACATACCAGTCATCAAGGTATGAGATGATTGTAGTTTGTGGAGAGCCATGATCGCACATACCAGTCATCAAGGCATGTGATGTTTGTAGTTTGTGGAGAGCCATGATCGCACATACCAGTCATCAAGGCATGAGATGATTGTAGTTTGTGGAGAGCCATGATCGCACATACCAGTCATCAAGGCATGTGATGTTTGTAGTTTGTGGAGAGCCATGATCGCACATACCAGTCATCAAGGCATGTGATGATTGTAGTTTGTGGAGAGGCATGATCGCACATACCAGTCATCAAGGCATGTGATGTTTGTAGTTTGTGGAGAGCCATGATCGCACATACCAGTCATCAAGGCATGTGATGTTTGTAGTTTGTGGAGAGCCATGATCGCACATACCAGTCATCAAGGCATGTGATGATTGTAGTTTTTGGAGAGGCATGATCGCACATACCAGTCATCAAGGCATGTGATGAGGATAAACCTTCCTCTCAAAAGTAAAGGAGCCTTTTCCACCCTTCAGGAATATTAGACATTTAGGGCTAGGCGTACTCTTTATAGACCATTCGCCACTTGGTCAGTGATGTGGTCGGTTATGTGGTCAGTCATGTCATCAGTGATGTCATCAGTGTTGTGGTCAGTGATGATGTCAGTGTTGTGGTCAGTGATGTCATCGGTGTTGTGGTAAGTGATGTGGTCAGTTATGTCATCAGTGATGTCATCAGTGTTGTGGTCAGTGATGTGGTCAGTGATGTGGTCAGTGTTGTGGTCAGTGATGTGGTCAGTGTTGTGGTCAGTAATGTGATATGTGATGTCATAAGTGTTGTGGTCAGTTATGAGGTCAGCATCATGCTGGCCGACTTTACATCCTAGGATTTTACCCAAGGTTTGAAGGTTTGAATAATGGATCAACATCATAACACATGGGTAGTAACCCATAAGTGCTCCATTCTTCTTCTGAGTCCTAAGAAGCTCAGCACAGTGCACAGGCTCTGTAGCACCAGCGAGTATCCTAAAATATTTTGGGTAGATTTTTAGCTCCAAATTTTGCCCAGGCTACTCTTTTCGATTTACAACTGCCAAGGGATTCTTTAAGTGCGCAACAATGCACACGGGCGTCTGATCTCACTACCCAGAGACCAGGGGGATTTACTAGAAGTCCAAGTCCACATGAAAAAATCCCAGCCCTTACTGGGGATTGAACCTGGAACTTTTAACACTTGAGGCGGTCGCTACAAAGCAGCCTCCCATTTTACCCTTCAAGGCCGAAGTAATTCCTACATTAAAAAAAAAATAATATATTAAAAAATCAGGTAGCGTTTGGATTCTAATCCACGACTTTCAGATCCACAGATGAGTATCTAACCACTACACCAGGGCAGCTTCTCTCCATCTCAGCCTGGACTAAAATTTATACTAGGAGATGTCAGGGGGAGTAAAGGTGGTCAGTGTGATACTGACAATATGATCCATTAAGTGAAAGCATGTCTATGAAAATGGTGGACCAGTATCATATGTACAAAATAAGTAGTCAATCCAGTAGTCAAGCCACTCTGCTCACACTCTAAACATCATGTATTCAGAGTGGACAGAGTAATTCACTTCATAAGTGCATTTTTTCAACAGATCCCTGGTAATCTTTGCTGCAGCCTCAGAATTTGCGCTTTTTGCAACACCTTAGGTAGGTGGCTAGCCACTCTGTGGAGCAAGACGAAGCAGTCTGGGATAACTCAATGGAATCAAGTCGGTCCTCTCCTTAAATTTTAGCTGTCACACTTATATGATCAAAGGGAAACAAAAAAACGTTGAATCAGAGTTACCTCAGAAGGTCAAGAAAAGCATCTAACGACGTAGGGGGATGCTTCTCTTCTTTGCTCCGTAGTCTGATGCCATCGTCACGTTGACCTGGGTGGATGGCCAGGACAAGAATGATACCAAGAATGATGGCTACAAATGTGGTTGCCAGGTAGTAAACGATAGCACGTAATCCCATACGTCCTGAGTTTTTTGGATCAAGAGAAGCCAGACCTGTTTTAAAAAAAAAAAAAAATATTTATTATAAAATATTTCATCTTTTATTTCCTTATTTATTTAAATTCTTCAGTGATGGAACCTCAATGTAATAAGGGTTCAAAACATTTTCATCACTGCATATGAAACCATTTAGCCTGTAAATACTTGGATCCCATCCTCAGTAAATCGTGCAGCGTGTAGCGGCTGAAAACACAAGTCTGTGGTCATTTCTAATTTTTCTTTGACCCTCTGTATATCACTCTTGCCTGGCCACACACCTTTAAAATGCAGTCTGTTCACGGTTGCAAATTCACAGTTGTCACTTGGTTGTCATGTCTCACTTCTCGTAGAGCATTCAGTATATCAGCATGGTCCATGGCACGTCTGCCCACCATAGTAGCTTTACATAGAGGCCTATCATCTTGTTCACTTCCTTGCACACCTGTGTGCCGTGGTATGAATATGAATTAAAATAAAGGTCATTAAAGCAAAGTGGTCTGGTCATTTTCCTTATGGAATAAAGATCGTGGGTTTATTTTTAATTCAGTATTATTTGATTTTGATACCCACGCCTGCTGCTTAAAATTACAGTCCATATCATACTTGACAGAAGCTGCAGACAGCAGATCTCTGGCATAGTAGACACGGTAGTCAAAACTGTGATTGATGAAAACACAGATGAAAGTGATGCTGTAGTCTACATGGACAGATCAGTAGCTCGGGGCAAGCAAAGTGCGTGGGCATTCACACTGAGCTCAAGAGTGAAAACCTTCATGGAGATGAGTGGTGCCTTTGCTGTTACAACTAGCAGCCTTACAATAGGAACGACAGCTGTAAAAAGGGCACTAGAATGCTGATTGCTCAAGAGTTGACACATTTTGCTGACTCAATGAATATGCTTACGAAAATTCAGGCCTGATTCGTCAGGCTAGAATGGATTGGGTCACTAAGCACTGTGCATATGGTTGGACTAACCTTTATCTTTGTTATGCGGTTATGCGGGTGTTCAAGCAGATTATTTTGCAGACACTGAGGCAGGAAAGGTTGGTCCTGTACTGGACAGAATTGACATTATCAATGCCATGAGCAGCGCATATCGTGAAGACAAATACAGCAAAGAGTATGATTCAGTATCTAGATTGATGGATATGGGGGCGCAACATGGAGCTGCAAGTATGGGGGTGACCAGATTGCAGTGAAAGTGAAATCTCGACTAAGACTTAGACTTGAAGCTGCAAGAAATGACAATTTCACTAAGATGGGCAAGATGGCTAATTAATCAACACAGAACAGAAGTCATCAGTCGTGTTATGCTTGTGGAGCTTTTAAGGAAGAGATCCGAGCACCTATGGACATGTCTGGAGTGCTGTAATGATAATCCTCACTAATCAATGTCATGTGATGTTATGTTATCACAATAAACGTCACCACCCATTAGGCATTAAGCATGTTCAGTTATCCTATTCAGCAGCCACTCCAAGGCACCTCTATTGATTGTTCCCAGGAGAAGCAAGACAGCATAGACTTGCGTCAGCAAGCTTTACTCCCAAGTCACACAGCCATGTTAGCATCAGCGATTCATCAATTTCCCCCAACCTAGTCCATACAGGGTTGATGATATCAGCTCTATCCATGTTTTTTTCTGTTTGCATGGGTGCATGACTTGCCAGCTGGTCAGCTCTTTTATTACCTTTACTCCTGCATGCCCAGGTGGGCAGTTTCAGAGGATGGAGATGATGCTTTCTATCCTTTCCGACTGTAAACTATAATCTGCAATGTTCATCGAATCTGTGTAATGCTCACTTCCTGAACTTGGTTACTCTGTGGAGTCTGAGGTGTGTTTGATAAAACCTGAAGAAATGAAGACAATCATCTCACCTTTAATCTTCTCTGATGGTATTTGGTTGTGGAGGGCTGATTAATAGTCCACATGTCTACATAGTGATTATTGTCGAGATCCAAAGCTCACTTACCACTGAGTCAGTCTCTCCAGGTAAAAATGTGTGATAAATCTTTTTCATGTCACAGGCACATCCGGCATAAAGTCCTAGATCTATATTTTTATAAACCAGCTGGAAGTTGCTGGCTGGTGTGGTCTCCTAAATGACTTGCCATGAGCTGGTTGAAAGCTCATGCTTCACTGGGAGATGAAAGACAGAAATAAAATACTGTGGCACTCACCTGTAATCATGCTGCTTATGATGAGAGGAACAATCAGCATCTTTAGCATGCTCATCAGTAGATCGCCAGGGAAGGACACAAGCATGATTGCATCTCCGGAGAGTTCAGCTGGTCGAAGGCAAAACCCTAAGAATATCCCAAGAACCACTCCCACCACTGTTAGCACCAGAAGAAGGTTCTTTCTGCACCAGCCTGGAGTCTGTTAGATGGAGAAACCGGCAATATGTTATTTGTGGGGGGGGGGTTAGTAAAGTCGGGAGATGTGAAGCATTGCACACGGTGCACACTTAAGTGCTCTGCCACTAGTACGAACAGCTGATAAGAAACTGTCCGCCTGTGTCACTGTGCGCACGTAACTCTGTAGCAACAGCAACGTTCCTCCATTCACCCCAGAGTGTCAATTCTGGTACCAATTTCCTAGAGGCTGGATAAACCCCGGGAACCGCCTGGTTTCCAACACCGACCGTGGCTGCAGCAAGTCGCAGCTGGATTTGAAAGCGAGCCTCCTATCGACTGCGCTAATGCGGCTCGTTATTGCCTATATTTTGCTATATTTTGTCAGGGGCAGTGCTACATAGTGGTGTCCGTGGCTTAGGCATTGCTAGTCCGACTCGTAATTCCAACATACCTGGCTGCGCTGACTTTTATCATGGCATGGGGCATCGCAGGTTGATCCAGCCTAAAATGGGTACCATGATGTATATCCGGGGGAAGTAAAGATGGCCGGCATAATGCTGACCACATTACCTGCCTAGTGCCGATTGGTCTGTAAAAATATGGATGATCTTCCCATATGCGCGATGTGCCTAAAGTAATGAAAAGGGATCTTTACTTTACTTTATTGCTACACAGTTAACACCGATGGCCTGGTCGTTTGACGAGGTTTCAACATCACTGCAGATAGCATGCCCCATACCTCCTCTGTTTATGTGCTTCTGGAAATCACAACAAATATCCTTTGCCGTTCCTCATGGTTAGAAAAATAGTGAAAAACTTGTTGGTCCTGATAAAGTCTTGAAGCTTGCACAGTAAAACTGCATAAGGAAGCTGTCAGATGTGCCAATACTAATTATCCCACACTTCGTGGGCACAACAGACCACACACAAAAAACCTGCATAAAATCCACAGCTCATAGTGCCACACCAAACACTAATTTAAGTAGCTGGACGACAGAACCTTTGTGTTCCCAGTACATAAATGGGGAAATGTGGATGTCTTTTTAACAGAGCGGGTATTGCTAGTCACACTCTCCATTGTTATGAGCCGTGATTTTCAAGCCTCCCTTTAGCACAGTGGAGCTGCTGTGGTGTAGCGGCTTGATGCTTGACTGCAGATCGGAAGGTCGTGGGTTCGGGTCCTGTAGGTCAGACATTTTTTTTTTCAAATGACCTTTGCTCTCTGGTCAACCCAGCCTAAAATAGGTACCAGGTAGAGTCCTGGGAAGTAAACACCAAGTGGCAAGTGGTCTATAAAATATAGGCTTAGCCCTATATGCCCAAAAGGCCTGAAGCATAGTGGAACGTTATTGTCTGGAAAGATGGAAAGGTCTGATCCAACATGTTATGTCAGTGGTATCTCATGTCCAGTCAGTGTTTTATTTATACTTACCTACTTACTTAGTCGCTACTCTTCTACCTTTGAGGGATATATATACTTAACAAACAAAATTATTTCATTTTTTATCTTATCCAGTGTTGTAAGTAAAGTCATGGGACATGTTCCACAACCAAAGTAATTTTTAACATACTGTGATACCTTGGTTTGCGCCCACTATGGTATATATCCAACTTGATATACATCCTGTTTAGATGCAAAAAATTTGTTTTCTTTGGAATATGACTGGCGTGCTAAAATGTTTATAAGTCAAAATGAGTTATGACATTATGCACTGCCACTGTTTACCTCTCTCGTTAACCAAGGAAATATTTGCCGAAAGGATGGATGTGAAGACATTTTAACCCCAACAAGCCTCAACGGCATTGTTTTTGGATTGACCAGACAAAGTCCCCATTTGCGAAACTTCCCGACGAGAAAGCAGAAGAAAAGTTCTTTGAACATATTTTCTTTTGGAGTAAAAGTCAAACCTGACAGACTTAACCAAGTCCAAGTAGGGAAAAAACACATTAAAAACAGAAGAATAAGAAAATACACCAGAATTTCTGATTCCTAAAGGTTTCTTTTTCTCCACTTGCTCCCTTGTCAGCTCTATCCTAGAAAGCACTGGACTACTCAGCAAGGTAAAAAGAGGTTAAACTGTCATTTCTTTCATCTAACTGCTTAAGCATTTTTGTAATTAACCTTTCCATTGTTTTTAGAATTAAGCAGTATTTAAATTGTTTTATAGAACCTCACTATCATGTAGCAGGTCCTTTGCAGAAAGTCGCTCTCATCACGGTCTGCTTGAAAGAAACTCGGTCTCTCACCAGCTCTCCCGCCTCGTGCCCTTTCATACTCAAGGAGTCACTTATATCCTGTGCCCATTATCATGTTGGTCAGGCCCTGCCCCTCCTTCCTGGAATCATGCCTTCTGCTACTATTTTGTCCACTCTGTCATGGTGCTTGATATGACCAAAGTATTTCAGCTTCCAAGACAAGATGCTGTTTATTAGCCAATCTTCTTTTATGCTGAGATCTTTTGAAATGTCAGTAGTTGCTTCTCTTCTTTGCCCATAGTATTCTCAGAATCTTTCTATAGAATTTCAGCTCAAAAGCCCCTATTTTCTTTCTTAAGAACTGGGAGATAATCCAAAACTCACATCTGTATATTGCTTAGGGAAGATGCATGTTACAAACATTTTAATAGGGTTGCCACCAATTATGAGTGGGTCATAACTATCTTAGGTTTGGTCATTTTTGACATTTCTCATTATGTTTTCATGCAGTTGTATTGATCAGGTATGGTGACAGAATACACCCCTGCCTCACTCCTTTTTGGCCTTCGAACCAATCCAATATTTCTCCAGCTGCTCTGATGGCTGCTTGCTGTTCATGATATACATTTTTCAATGAAAGGCCCCAAATGTGCTGGAGACCCCACACTTCTCATATTTCTCCACAATTTCTGATCTTGGACATAATCAAATCGCTTGCTATAATCAAAGAATTATAGAACCTATAAACGTATAAGATGCCGATAACAATAAGACTTTCTGCATGGGAACAGATTAATCATTCTCCCTTTATTTCTTATGGGAAAATTCGTTTAGTATGATGATGACTGATTGGCATCTTTCTGTCTTTCCAGACGATAGTGTTAAATTGCGGTATGAGGAGGCATGAGACTCACAGCCATGGCGATTATTGACTGTGACTAGCAAGACCCGCCTGTGTCAAGAAAAGTCTTCCACAACGACAACATGGGATTTCAGGACCATTGTTGTCAACATTTGTGTTTAATCTTTTTTTTTTTTTTTTTTTCAGATGCTCAGCTCTCATCCTTTCTGCAATCATTTCTTTCTTTACTCTCATTCCCTTCCTAAATGCCTTTTCCACTCAAAATGGTCCATGGCATTTTTGTTCCCATGAGCCCACCTCAATACCTGTATCATTCATGTTTCGCTTGCACACATCTTTATACCATAGTAGAGGTCAGCCTCGACATCTTATTTCTGTCCTTAATTCACCATAAAGGATTGAGCATGCAAAAGACTGCTGTAGTACCTGCTTTTTCCAGTACCTCAGTGTTTGTGATTTTGTCCTGCCACTTAATGCCAAGTATTCTTCTTAGGCATCGCATGTGAAATATATTTAGCCATTTCTCCTGGTGCGAATAGGTTGACCAAGATTCACTGCCATAAAGCAGAGTGCTGAGAACACAAGCTTGATAGACAAGTGTTTTTGTTTTAATTGTGAGCTTTCTGTTCTCCCAAACTCTCTTTGTCAATTTGCTCATTGTTGTTGCTGCCTTACCTATCCTGATGTTGATTTCTTGGTCCAGCAATAATTTTTATTTACTGTGGAACCCAGATAGGTAAAATGTTCTACTGTCTCAAGTTCTTCACCGTCAATGTAGACTGTAGGTCTGTCATTGACACCTTGCACCATAACCTTTGTCTTCTTTTTGCTGACTGTTAGTCCAAATTCACATCATGCATTAGCAAAGGCAGATAGTAAACATTGCAGCTCCTCTTCTGAGTGGGTGCAGCATCATCTGCAAATAGCAGCTTTCTGATAAGTACTTTTGTTATCCTGGTTTTTCCCTTCAGCCTGCGAGCATTGTAAAGGCTGCCGTCAGATCGAGAATGAATGAATATACCATCTTCCTGATCTTGAAAGGCACCCTGTTTAATATAGGTCCTGTTTGGTATTCATCCTGTCTGGTATACATCCAAGGATCTAGAACCGATTAAGGGCGTATACCAAGGTACCACTGTAATATGGAATGCCTAATCTTGATAGGCGGATAAAAACAACTGTAGGCACAGAAAAAAAAGCAATGACACCACAAACATTTAATAAATTTAAAAAAAAAAAACTTACTTCAGACAGACAAGACATGCATGCTCCCCCAGGTCCAGTTCTGTCAGTGAACTTGACCCCTGAACTCCTGTCCTTTTTATCAACATCCAGCATGGGTTCGCCGGCTCCTCCCGTGTCGGCCATGTTGAGCACAGATTACTTCTCTTGCAGCTACTCAGTCTGTGGAGTTTACAAGTAGAGAAATGTCAATATCAACACTGAGATTATTTCCAACTTGTCTTTATCAACCAGGGCAGGGTCACCTCCACAACGAAAGTTGGCTGCAAATGATCTCCATCTCTGGTGGTTTCTTCCTATCTGACTGGTGGCTTCTTCCTATCTGACTGGTGGTTTCTTACTACCTGACTGGGGGCTTCTTCCTATCTGACTGGTGGTTTCTTCCTATCTGACTGGTGGTTTCTTACTATCTGAACGGTGGCTTATTCCTATCTGACTGGTGGTTTTTCTTCTTTCAGCAGTTATATACAAACAAAACCCTTGACCCGTAAAGAGTCTTGGAGGTGTATTGATGGAAACCCTAGCAGACACAACCAACCCTCTGTCTCCGTCTTCCACTGGTTGAACAAGTGTATTATAATTTAGTCCTGTCCATTTCTTGATGTTGTCATTACGTGTTTTTCTTTGCCTTTTTTTTCTTCTAACCCCTCCGTCACATTTCATTTCTTCTGTTCTATGAAGTGTAATCTTTGCAAAAAATATTAAAAAAAAAAAAAAATAAGCATTTCAAAAAATAGCTTGTGACATTTCAACACTGCTAAAAGAGGATCCTGAAATCATGAAAATTTGCTTAATTTTGTGTCTGACATATTTGTTAGTTTTGTGTTTTAAACAGCTACTTTGTAAAATTCGTCAATAGACGACAGACAATACCAGGCTGGATGATTTAGATAGATCAACCATTACGTCCTTTTTAGGACGTAATTTTTTGTTATTTGAAGCCCCACTCTGGCTTTTGCCAGGGGCCGCAATATAGGCAGGCCATATATATGGCCAAATGTCTGAACGCGGTTTCTGGGACCTCTCCACGGCGATCCTCATCCACATGGTGGCACTTTGTGTCATCGGGTGTTTATCGCTTGTGTGATGTCCTGGTGGGGTAGAAATTCAGTTCAGTTCAGGCTGGATGACAATTCAGGAGAAAAAATCCAAGAGAGCTTGTTTAACCTCATAATGAGGTCATATTTAGTTCATCCTAACGGCTATACCAAGTATTCTTATAGTATATGCCGCAGTTTCAATGGCACAGATCTCTCGTTTAAAAAAAAAAAAAAAAGCAGACAAGGGAAGTAATTTTATTGGAAAGTGTCAGTTTAAGAAATCGTGAGTTACGTATCCTTTACAGGACGTTGCGAAACCTCTTCTCTACCCCTGTAGTGCTGCCTCAGAGCGTCGAAGCTATTTTGTTGGCTTTGTATATAGTACTTTTCAATGTCTCTTATACTTTTAGGGGCTGCATGGTCTCAAGTCATGGTGTCCGCCTAAAGTGATAGAGGTTCCGGGTTCTTCTTCTTCTTCTTCGCGTTCACCAGCTGTACACTCTGGTGGAAAGTTCTGGTTGCTCGTCCACTACTGAACTGCAGTCCTGCTCCAGAACCTGAGTGTTGCGTGTGCATCAGTTTTACAGATCTCATTCGCTTGAATACAGACTGTTGGTTCCTTGCCTCTCGGGCAGATGCACTCCGACTTCAAAGGAAGCACCCCAATTAGTCGACTCTTACAACATGCTTTTGGGGAGGCAGTGGGTCTATTCTTGTTTTCCCCACAATGGGGCCCCGGAACCCACACGGAGGCGGTTCCGGGTTCAATCCCCGGTAAGGGCTGGGATTTTTCCACGTGGACTTGGACTTCTAGTAATTCTCTACTGGTCTCTGGGTAGTCAGATAGGGCGCCCGTGTGCATTGTTGCGTACGTAAAAAAAAAATCCCCTGGCAGCTGGAAATCGAAAAGATTTTGCCCGGGAAAACTTTAGAGTTTAAAATTTACCTAAAGTATTTCAGGATCCTCGCCGGTGCTACAGAGCCTGTGCACTGTGCTGAGCTTCTACGGACTCAGACTTGAGTTAGAAGAAGAACGTAGCACTTATGGGTTACTACCCGTGTGCCATGATGTTGATCCGTTGTTCAAAACCTTCTCAACTTCTTACATTTCTGCGGTCCATCTTCTGCGTGGTTCTGTTACCGCTGTATCTGTATAACACTGCTCTCGTGCTGCCCTGGCTGATGCCAATCTTGTTACATGGCCAAACCATTTGATACAGTTCTCTATTGGTTCTGTGCCGATTTTCCCTCCTGATATCATCCTTCCTAATTCGACATTTCATTTCTGTCGTGACTATTTCCCTTCTGTCTTCAGAAGACAGTGTCCCTGTTTGATATTGACAGCATAACGTTGCTAAGACCACTGTCTCTGTGTGTTTATACTTAAAAAGTTAGTTGCGTATCCTTTACAGGACGTTGCAGAACCAACCCCAGCAGCCCCTGGCTGTTGTGTGGTTTCTCTAGGCAAATTTACGTCCAGTAGTTTGCCATTGCTTATTGGACGGTCGGCCCCCTGATACTACTGCCGAAACCAACGCTAAGCGCATGGCCCGCAGCTGAGATCGAACCCGGCACCCTGGCATTACGAAGCGTTCGCATCGACTTAGCCACAAAGCCGACGTGTTTATGTTAGGTTATATTATTTTCAGTAACCTCAAACAGTGACCTAAAAATTTCTACCTAACCAGGCAACGGGGTCAGATAGGTCATCTTTCTCTTCCAGGATTGCCGTGTGTAGAATTAACAGCTCATTATGAGAATCAGAAGCTTCGGCTGAAAACGTTAATTTTGTGACAACAAGTTCAACAAATAAACAGCTATATACATTTCTAGGTTCTTTATTATTATTTTTTATTCATCCGAAAACACGGCGAATCTCCGAGTGCTCCGGAAATTCCAATATTTTACGGTGTTAATTTCAAATGGTAACACCCGAATGTTGAATGTTGAATTAATAATCGACATTACAGCACTTGGGATACTTCCATAAGCACTCCGTCCCCATTTTCAGTAGCAAGCGAAGAGTTCCATTTCAGATGGTGCAGGTAACTGGCTGACTGTATATCCGTTTCGCCCCTCCCTTGATTGTTGAGTGTTGTAACACCCCTATAATAATTGGACTTTCTGTGGAAGTCCGGGATTCCCCATGTTTGGGGTTAAAAAAAAAAATAATAAAAAAAAAAAATAAACAACCCATCTGAGTTTGTTTCCTGACACAGCTGGATTTTTTTTTTTTTTTTTTCAAAAATGACCTTGGCTCCCAGGTCGACCCAACTTTAAATGGATACTAGGTAAAGTCATAGGAAGTAAAGGTGGCCGGTGTGATGTTGACGATATCACTTATCGAGTGCCTATGGGTCTATTAAAATATAGGTCTATCCCTATATGCCCAATACGCCTGAAGACGTGTAAACGGGTCCCTTATATACTTTATGAACATCTAGATTTATGTCTACTGTTTACAAACACACTGGTAAAGATGTTGACAAATATAAAGACTGCCGCTTCACAATGAAGGTTAGCCCAGTGCCCGTACTGTCTTTGAGAATGTTTCTTGGCGAGGCTCTCTTTGCCGGTGCGACTCTCTTAACGTCGACGGAACACCATCAAAGCTGTATTTTTGTAACATAATCCGTGCGCTGTGGGAATCAGACCCTAGAACTCCATGAATATGACATTGTTAAACACATTCACTAACTTCCAAACCACACAGAGCCGTGATGACAGACATAACTGTGACCTTAAACACGCACAACTAAAAAAGTTTGATCCGGAAACAATGCGTTTTTGCACTCTTCGCCGGCATCAGTATATGTGATATCAGCGGTTTCCAGCCTGTGCTCTGTGGGCCCTATGTGCACTTCATAAGAGTAACGCATCTGCTTCCGAAAAATATAAATAAAAATTAAAGTAAATTGAGGATTATGAACAATAAGTACAATCTGCAGTTTATACACTTTATCTTTTAACTTTAAATTACATCACTTTACACCCCCCCCCCCTTTTTTTTTCCCCCGTCATGTGACGAGAAGGAGAAAACTGGAGTACGTCGTGACAGAAGGAAAGTTGGAGGGAAAGAGAGGCGGAGGGAGACCGACAGAAAAGATGCTTGCGATGATTCTCTTTTATCTTCTACTGGCTCGCCTCATCGCATGCACGCTGCCATCTCACAAACCGACATCACTCGACGAGCAGAAAAAAGGACGACTGGAAAACAACACGCTACTGTTCCAGTACTTTAATCTTCCACTAGCGGCTTACACTGCCGGCACATGAACTAGACAACTGTCCAGGCACACATTATAATGCAAGTGTCAACTATTACCTTCAAGCAGAAATCACAATCACACTACCATCTTGAACGAAACACAGCCGCTGTCCTGACCGACAAACTCAGACGACCCGCAGACATATTACTGGCCAGCTTTTTTCGCCAAGTTGGACCGGAACAAATTCACTCACAAAAACATCTGCTGAATCCACACATCATCCACCGCTGTCCATGCACACTGTTCCTAGGTCCAAAACGAGACTGCCCACAAACCTTTTCCTCGCTATTATATAGCCCTCTGATCTATCCTATTCTAGAATATTCTGGATTCATTCTCACGAATTTCCCACTGTTGAAAGTCGTGTCTGGCCCGTGATAATTCACATTTCACACAGATCCTGTGAACAATCATGTTTCACATAAAACCTGACTTTCAGATGTCTCTCATGAAACTCAAGACATAAATCTCGTGTTATCTCAACCAGTCAAAAACATTCGTCTTACATCTATTACTGACGTCATCTATCGGGCATAAATTAATGAGGAGAAAATGACTCACTACATTCTCCCCCACCCCAAAAAAATGTTTTACATTTTCAATTAATCAGGTTGTGAACATTTCACTGAACATTGTGATTCTAGACCTTTGTAGTGAATCATTTTCGACAAGTTCATTTCCAACCAAGTTCCCTTTACCTCATTAGGTTAACAATTCAAACACTCTAAAATGCCATCTGTTGGGTCTTTGCACGACTGTGAATACCTTAATGGGATCCTCACCCCAGGCACTCCCCTTTTAGTGCGGAAGACCAATA